CAGAAACTCACCCTCGGCCCAGCCAGGGGTCTTTACGAAGATCTTGAGTTATTTCTTCCCCCTATTTTAAGAAAAGAGGCCGGAGGGGGTGGGGGAAAGGAAGAAAAAGCAAGGGAAAAAAAAATTTAACCAGATCATCTACTTTTTATTTCCGAGGAAAGATTTGCCTTATTTACTTTTATTTATATACATGTACTTCACATTTGTATTTAAAATGCACAGACCTCCAAATAATTTTCTCGTTCCTGCTTTAAATTAGCTGTTATTTTACAATACAAAAAATTATACCAAAAACTGCAGTCCTAAATGTGTGTATGTATAACACCCACAGTCCCCAGCAATGAAATAGTTTACAATACTCGCTCATATTTACATAGGAATGCAATAAATGATAAATTATACATATTAACAAACTAAGCTCAAGTCTGAACACAGATAAGAATCGTAAATAATTACAGAACAAAGAAAAAAAAATCCAGAATACAATTAATTCAAGAATCCTAGTGTAAAGAACATTTATTGTGCACAAATTTCAGAGTAATTATAAAACTCTATTTTTATATTCTTTTTGCCATTTTTTTAAGAAAAAAAGATGGACTGGCATATGTTACATTCCTCCACCATTTTTTTTTTCCTTCGTTCTTCTGGTGAGGATTGTGGAGTCAATGATAAATGTAGAGGAAATGGCTAAAGAACTATAGTACCTGGAAGACACACGAAAATAGTCCATGTGCACTGTGAGAACAAAGTAAGGAGCTGAACAAAACCTGCCCTGATGCAGAAGCAGAAAAACCAGCACATACACATCATGGGAAGCTCCTCTAATTTAAGCAGCTATCAACAGAAAAAGCATGAGTTCCACTAAAATTGCCAACAACACATCCACAACCGAGAAACGCACACCTACCCCTCCCTCCCCTTAGCTCCCACGATCCACACACCGGTGGGTGCGTCTTCCAGCAGCACCTTCCCACTTGGAACACGCACAGCTCCCTCTATTCCCCTGCAGTATTCCTAAATGGAGGCAACCAGGGAAGGGGAAAAGAGGAGGAACCCGCAGCTTACCACGAGTTGGACAGAGGCGGTTAGGAGTGGCTCCTGGTGCGCAGGTCGGCTCGTTGCGCGGTGCCAGCACATCCCTGTTCGCAGGGAAAAGGGGGTTTACGGGTCGAGGGACGCAGCCGATGCTCTGTCCCTAACCCCGGGCCTAGTGGAAAAGCAAAAGGAGCCTCCGACACCGGGAGCATAAGGACAGAGAACCAGCCCCACATTTGCAGCACTGGACTTTTCCCTGTTTTAGGGAAAAGCCTGAAGCTTTATTTCAGCCCCTGAAGCGAGGGTATTTCAGCAAAAGCCCCTTTCAGCTTACTTAGGGCCGGGCAAGCTGAGCTGCCATCCTAAACCCACACTATAAACCCAGCGACTACACATTTTGGTAAATTTTAGCAGAGGAAACAATATTTCTGAGCAGTACTTGGCCTACAGGGATCTGCTACCAGGGACCGTCATGCTCCCGCAGCACCACACCATCCGGGTTTGGAAAATGGTACGCTAGGACTTTACGCTCATCACAGGCATGACCCAGTCCTGACAGCCTTATTTTGGCAGCCTCAACACAGCGCAGGGAGAGTGAGAATAACTCGCAAGTTGTGTCCCTTAAATCTTCTCATATTCAACATACTGACCCATGACATGGCAGGGTCTCCTGTCACCCATGCTACAACAGTCCAGAGAGAATTCTGGGCTAAAAAATGCTGGAAAATGCTGAATTAAAAAAAAAAAAAAACCCAACAAACTGTTATTTGGAGATGCAATGGCATGGTTGCTTTCTGGAACAAAAGGGCCACAACATTTCTGATTTTTTGATTCATTTGTTTTAAAGGCTACCCTGAAAGAATAGAAAAGTTCTGAGGCTTCAGACCCTGAATGCTGAATTTCAGCCACTTCTAGATGCTTCCAATTAGCGATTTTGAATGGGAATCACTGCCACAATCTTAATGGTAAAGGTTTAAACTGCTGACTTAATCCTCCAAGCAATGACTTCTTCCAGTACATTTATTGCCTGTCTTCAAGCATTGTTTTTTCCCCCCTTTCAAAGGGAAGGGCTGTATTTAACTTTGCTTACACATTTAAGTGAAATGCATTTGAACACATAAAAGTCAAGTTCTGCTTCCCTGCTCTCTACTGCAAGATACCACAGATACAATTTGATGTTTCTTTAAAGCTCTGGAAAGTTCTCTAATACTCATCCTATGAAGAAGTTATTAAGACAAAACTCATACATCATCTAAAATGCATCAAAAATACACTGAATTTTTTTTCTGCTTTATATACATTTTCAATCCTCTGATGTTCTGCACACTACTGTACAGTTTATGTACAAGTGCAAAACTGGTGTGTTATTCTTCATTTATTTACAGATTCTCCCATGAAATAAGGTTGCTCTTTTCCCCCTCTCTCACATCCAAAAGAAATAACCTCCCCCAGATCCTTCACGTTCGATATTGGCTGGGCGATGAACCACTGGCAATTCTTTTTCCCCTCATCCATTCCCACCTTTGCCTTTCACCTTTAGGATGGGATGAAACTGTTTGCAGCAGATATGTATGAGAGTTCCCTTGTTCCCTCATCAGTACGGAGATGAGATGCAGAGCTACAGCCTACAGGAACCGTTTGTTTATAGAAATAAGTCTCCTCCCTCCATCTACAAATTTTGGTTCTGCTAAACCTCAAAGTTGGATCGTTTTTGCTTGTCTGTCCAATATCTGACAAAGTCCAATATCTGACAAAGAACTTGGTGGCTACGCTTCTGTGCACGCGCCACTGTAAGCTTTTGAGAGCAGGTAACGGGGAACAAAACACATTTATGTCTTTTTGTTAATGCAGAAATATATCACACACCCCAAGCCTCCCCGGGCCTAGTGTTCTGAAAACTCTTCCAGGAAAACCTAAGGAACAATGTTAAGCACCTGCTGAAGTGCCATCCTGAATACGGAGCCTTAAGCACAAGAGCTTTCTCAGTTTGGGTCAGCAGTTCTCTTTCCCAGAAGTGCTGGAGAGGCAAGAAGACATCCCTGCACACAAGGATGTGCAAGGCAACACACAATGGGCAGGGGAGGGGTTTTTAGTCCAGTGTTGTTTCTTTAGTTCAGGTTAGCCCTATACACATAGGAAGTCAGAAAATATTGTCAGGAGATGAATCTGTCTGAGGTAATCTGTGCATCAGTTAAAAGGTAAATTGCCTAAACCCCTTCATTCTAAAGACAAAGCTCACCCCTTTCCCTCCCACAGTTTCTTCCCCCCAGAGGGCATTTAAACTTGTATTTTAGAAACAGACACATTATATACATATATGTGTGTGTGTGTGTATCTCTAAAATGCATTTTTTCCTCCAATATATTTTCTGCAGTCCTGTGGTGTTGGTTAAATGACACATCAAATCAGAATTTTAACCCACCACGGTCTTTAAACCAGCCAGCTGTCCCCCATCACCGCTGTCCGGACACGCACAGCCATTCTCATCTTTTCTGCGATGCTGCCGCACTTCAGAGAGCTTCTTCAAAATGGTTAAAAAAGAAAAAAAAGCAGCTGATACATGACCGATCAGCACAACGTGCCCAGAAGAAGATGCAGTTACTTGTGTTTCATTTGGGAAACAGGTGCGACCTGGCCAGAAGATTCAGGAGCACTTTCCTTCACTCCCCTCCGTCTGTTCCTTCTCCGTTTGTAAATACTAGATGTCCCCATGGGAAACCAGCGACTCGGTGACCTGGATGAAACCGCACTTACTGTGATTAAGCAACAATTACATGCCTTGTTTGGCACCTTCACGTAACATCTTCCTACCAGCATCAACATCACAACTTCTCGTGGCCCCGGCACCGCGCCACGCTCCAGAATCAAGGGAGGCGCTGGGCACCAGCACGCACAGACTGATGGGTTAAGCCCATCCCTGAAGCTCGAAACGCAGTCCCAGCTAGTCAGAGTACTCTGCAGGGTTTGGTAAGTTCCCCAAAAGCCAAGCCTTCCCCTTGCTGCTTGCGAGTCCTTTCCTTTCACCAACAAGCCACCTTTTCAACGTCTAAGAGTTCAACCCCAACGGGAAAGATCAGTAACCGAGCACGTAAAACGCCAACCTGTGGCCAAACAAAGCTACTCTGCTTGCTTCTTATTTAAAGCACTCTTTTACTTCATCCTCAAACACTCTGGCACACAGAGTGTGGGATTTTACACCCTGTACGGAGATGGAGCAAATCTTACTGCCTCTGAGCTCCAGCACAGCTCAGCTCTCACCCAGAAGAATGTCAGGAGGGAAGGGGGAGGGAAAGAGGC